AGACCTCGAAAAACGTCTATGAACTTTTGGAAGGATTGTATAGCGTTTCTTAGACCGAAAGGCATTCGCGAAAATTCGTAGTGTCCAAGGGGAGTTATGATAGCTGTTTTCGGAATGTCGTTAGTAGCCATAGGGATTTGGTTATATGCTTTAACCAAGTCGATTTTCGCGGAGACAGTTGTGCCTTTCAAGTTGGCAATCAAATCGTGAATGTGAGGCAACGGGTATCAATCGGGAATGGTTTTCGCATTCACTTGCCGATAGTCACCAGTTGGACGCCAATCGTTGCTGTCCGTTTTAGGGACCATGTGCAACGGAGATGCCCATGGGCTGTTTGACGGTTTTTTGGTACCCAAGTCTGTCATGTGGTTAAATTCGTTTTTGGCCAACCTTAGCTTTTCGGGAGCCATTCGGTGTGCTTTCGGTAATACAGGCGGTCCTGTAGCACAGCTTACACCTGCTGAGGTAGTTTGAATAAGAAAAGTTGTTTGAACAGGCCATCATCGAACGTTCTTTGGCCGATAACCTCTTTCATCCTTTGCAAAATGTCTGTCGCAGAACAGTGTTGCAGGTCGATGTTATTAAGGAGTTGGTCTAACCTTTGTCTATCGGTTAGGTCTCCGCGTTTAAGTATAGATCGTTCCAGTGTTTCGTATGGTTCAGGAACATCACTAGTAAGCGTACTAGGTGTAACGTACCTGTTGAATTCGCGCGGTAGTGCATTAACTACTGCGAGGAATTGTGCATGTGTGTCGTTCATGCCGTGCTCGTAGTAGTCGGCTTCTACGCAGCAGAACCAGGCTTCGATGCTGTCTGGCCAGAAGGGCAGTAGTTGGGACAAAGGTGTTTACATAGTCTTTAAATTAAGTACCTTGGCTGTCTGTTCAGTCATGGTGAAATATCAAGTACGAGAATGAACGAGAAAAAAAGATCCCAGACTCGAAAAAAATATCATAAAATATAAAAAATTAAAATAAAGCAATAATATAAAAAATTCCAAAAAGGAACAGACTCACAGTTTACAATTTGGTGTACCAGATCACGTCGGGCTCACCAATGTAGATCACCAACTTGGATGATATATGTCGAATGATCGGATGCTTTCTCGAGTTAAACGGGAGTGGCGTGACGAACCAGCTAACGTCGAAGTCACACCTCGTGGTCAGCACCTTACGTGGACTATCCTATTGACGCATAAATGTACCATAGATGCCTTGAAGACTGTACAACACAGAGGACGTTATTACAGAAATATATTAGTTAAAGTAGATACACGCGAAAGTAAGACCACTGCAGCATGGGCCAGTCCATGGCGTACGATTAACTGATGCGCGTTGGTTGTCTTTGACCTTGACGACGATCGATGATTTGTTCAATAATCAGTGACCCAGCTGCAGGATGATTTGGCTAGGGCTCAGTTGAATTTCACTGGCCCTACAACGGCAACATGACATAGTAGGCAGAAACCGAAGGATGGAGACCCGATGTAACTGCCATCATGGAGCAAGACGTCGAATGATCAAAAACAGCCAGAAAGTCGTCCTTTATCTGCAATACTCGCCTTCACAGTAGACCAGTGGACGCATACATAAGAGACGGGGGAGTGTAATGTATGTGTTGGAAATTGAAGGTCGAAAGCAGATACGCATTACAACGATAAACTGAAAACGCTGACACTTTACAGAGAACATAAAACCCGAGCTCAGTTCTGGAAATTCTCTTAGACAGTCTCGATATAGGAAGTTCTGTAAGTTAGAAGACTGTAGAATGAGAAAAGAATCCTGTACGAATATTATTGCAGAAAAGCAGGAGACCGGATTTCCACCAGATTAGCCCGAAAGGCAGGGCATACAGCGTTCCTAAGTGATCTATCAATAATGATATTATAGCCACTGCTTCTTACAAATGACTAATCATATTTTCGCTTTTTGTCTGTTTCAATTAACAAATTAGTCACGTTTCACGAGGATCACACCGTCAGTTAGTTTTCGCTTCTTATGCACTGAGAAAAATGGTAGTTATAAGATTTTTCTAATGGGGATAGATGATATGAACAGAGAAATAAAGAAGCCATAACAAACAGCAGATGCTACTTTTTGGGACACTATTCCACTTAATCCAAAGTTTGTAAAGTACTAACACTTGGGTTTGCCCCCAGGTTACTCAGGAAACCATAAGATTTCGTTTGATGTGTGATTCACTGCCATATCTTTTTCTGATCCAAACCTACTGTAATTCAAATGAAATCTCCTAAAATGTAATTTTCTACTTCAATGACCAGTTTAGACAGGTTTGTATTCATAGTTTTTTGTGTGTGGTGGTCATGCTAGCCTCTATTTATTCACGTATCTTCTTACACTAATCTGATTTAAGTATTGGTAATCGTGGACCAGGTTTAAATCGAGTAGTTTCCCAGTTGACTTATCTTCACTTTCTCGCTTGTCAACCAATTACGTGACATAGTAATTTCCGTTTCTGTGCCCGAGGCCATTGGTCTTGGCTCAGACTCACGTATTTCTAGTCTTGAGATTAAACTCGCTGTCCTGTTATGCCAAGACCCTAATCTAAATCGAGACAAGTTCTCTCCTATATATTATTGAGCAGACAGATTAAGATCCTTACAGTGCTCAGTGAGAATTTTCAGCACATCGGAATATCTAGTTGAAAACATCTATCAGAAGACTACTGCTCACACGGGGTTCGACAATCATATTATGGATGGATTATCCCGCTCTTTTCGTCTCTGACACACCCATATCTAGAATCTAGGAGACTTTTGTCGTCCCAAGTCAACTTCTTTGAACACATATATATTAGAGGCGATAACTTTACTGAAGCTCGGTTCTTCAGCCTTACTGAAGATTTGGGGTTATTCGAAAATGTGAAGTTGGCAATTTGGTGGAAAAACAGTCAGACAACATCACGATCAGTTTGCATATTCACAAACGGAGAATTCCTAATTTACTACCTCTAACTAACGACCGCACTAGAACCAAGTGATCAACCCGTCATAATCTTGAATTTTATCATTGGGAGTGAGCCAAAACACCCTACTAATAACAGGCGGTGGAATTTTGAACGGTTGGATATCTTAAATATACAGGGAAATCTACAAAAGGCGGACTGAGAAATTGACATTTAACTTGACGTGAACGCTCATTGGAATTTATTACTTCACACAATCTTACGTGCTACAAACCAGCCTAAACCTCACATAGCCCCCAAAAATTACGAGCAAAGTAAGGTCATAAGAAATTTCACTCTTTGAATGAAGAGACGCAAAAAGAACCACTTTGCTGATTACAAATGAAATAGTGACAACGGCACGTAGAGGCAGCCAAATAAGCAAGTAGCCATTGCACAAAGGTGATAAAAGAAGATGGGATTCAGTATCAGATAACGCTAATCGACAAATTTATCTGCAATGCGAAAAGCTCGTTTTGTTATGCAACATACCTTTGACTAGCCAAAATTGGAGTTTCCCAGATGTTAGGTCATAATGGCCCAAACAGTAATGAGGCTGATGCTGTCAACCTTCTGACAGAATATTTTTCTCAAATAATCCAACCTTCACATGCAAATTACATTGATGAGAACTCCACGGGACTCTCATAAGTGAACCCAAGCTCTGACTTGATGTATTAGAAACCGTAACATCTACACTAGGACCATTCTTTTGGCCTGGATAAGTTTCATGCTGCTACGCTGAGAGGAGCTGCTGTAAGCTGGGCAACACTATCTAGTGTGGTATTACCGCACTGGTTAAGCCATACTGTACTCCCAGAAAGTTAGAAGCTGATGTACATTATACCGATTTTCAGAAACCTTCAAGCTGCTGCCCGGTAGCACTCCTCTCAATACCCTCAAAAACTATGATGTCCTTGATACTTGGAGGTCTACGTAACTGTTTATTATACATAAATTTCTCTTCACCCTAACAACACGGTTTCAAGTAGGATTACTGTGGTATTTCGAATTATTTGAATTGTAGTATGAACTAAGAACCCCCGAAATAACGCAATTGAATCAAGAAGTACTAGGTGAGCACAAATGAATGTATTGTATTTAGAATTCGGAATCGAGCAATCAACAAGTACAAAAGAATCATTAGTTAATTCAAACACCACATCCGCCACAGCTTAAATAGGAGTATAAGTGTCTGTAATCGATTGTACGTCTTCTTATTAAGTTCATCCTGAGTCTGTCCGACATTGTATTGGATAAGAACTATGTATTATCTTGAATACACTCATTAGTATTAGAATTAACAACTGAAATAGGAACAGACTCACCTGGGTCCTGAAATTGTATACAATCAGCATGTCGATTTTGTAATGAAATCATTAATATCTAGAATTCGAACCATATATTTTTCAACACTATCCTCCCCCACGAAATAATGTTGGATCTTTATATCCCCAAGTTATGCATGATGTGGCTTCATTTAAAACATATTTCTTACATTGATTAGAGTATACATTGGAAGTGGATTTGTGATAAGGATGAACAGCAGTTGGTATGAAATCATCGGAATTGTAATCAAAATCGAGGTCATTTAGTACTTGTGCTTCGCATTGAACAAGTTTCCCACAAGAAACAAATGCATTATGAGGACAAATAATATTTGTCATTACATCAAGTTTTGATTCTTCTGAAATAGCTTCCTCAAATTTATTAAGAATGTCATTGCAGAGCAAAGGATCATTAGAAATGTCAGCATCCATCAAAACTACATCAGGTTTTTGATCATAATTATGTTCACTCAACATATTTTTTCAGATCTGCAAGGAATTTCATCAGAAATATGTGAATCATTAGAAAAAGCCATACCTGGTACAATAGCATGAGAATTCTGGCAAATTGATTGGTTAGAGACCGTTGTCTCACAAGGATTCTGAGTTTCATTTAACTCCGAACTGCTATATGACTCTGCACTGTCTTTTGAAATCGATGATAAAGATAAATGATCATTAGGAATACTCGACTCAATAGCATCAGAATTACCAGACTTAATATTAGTTGCAATAAGATGAACATTAGTATTACAGACTGACTGAATATGTCCAATATCACCACATTTAAAGCACTTAGAATTACGAAATTTACATGAATTAAAAGAGTGGTATATGCCACAGGACAAACACTGACCAAACTTGTGCCCATCTTCGTGAAATGCATTGCAACTCCTCAATGAATTATCTGCATAGCATTGAGTATGCACTGGGTTGGAATGACGTAGTAATGTAGTGGAATTTTTTACATCCTCATGAATCACTTTACAAAATCTTCCTTTATTGCGTTCGAAATTTGTATACTCAACATAGTCTAGCAGCAGTTCCTTGAGAGTTGTATAAAGAAGCGAGATAGGCTTTCCCGGCATAGCCAGTGTTTTTAATAAGCTGTATGCTTCTTTTCCGATGAATGTGAGGAAATGTGCCACAATATTAACATCCTCATCATCTTCCTTGGTCATATCCCAGATTTCGAACCCTTCAAAATAATCCTCAACAGCACCAAAATCTGAATGTATATCCAACAGTTTCATCACAGGCTCCATCGCGACGCCAATTTAATGTTTCGAATTATTTGAATTGTAGTACGAACTATGAACCCCCGAAATAACGCAATTGAATCAAGAAGTACTAGACAAGCACGAACGAATGAATTGTATTTAGAATTCGAAATCGAGCAATCAACAAGTACAAAAGAATAATTAGTTAATTCAAACACCACAATTACTCTTGTATAACCAACCTGCTGACAGCGATAGACGAACATACTTGATTGCAAGGTGAAAATTGATGTCGAATGCCTCGGCTTTCCAAAAAATTTCAATAGTTTTAGTGAGTGATGTCTCATCAATAAGTTCAAACTGTTAGATATCGAGTCATCGTCCACTGATTCGCTGAATTCATATCTAACTAAACGACCTTTTAAGGTCAGGGTAAACTTCATTTCTTCGCAAGCTACAGAGTGTCTTAGTGGACCTCATTTTCCCTAACGTAAATGACCTTCTTGAACACTTTTGGATGGCCTATTATTATTTATTGTGTATTTGGAACCCTGAAGATAAGTTTGTAACCCACACGATAAGCTGGCAATTCAGAGGAGTTTGGACTTCAAAATCGGGAGGATAACAACGGACTTCTAACACTTCGATGTGTATCTAAACGTGTCCTTGTAAGGATGCTTGACCGAAGCCCTTCAGCTAGAGGTTTGTCTAGTGAAACCGATGAGTCCAGCCTCAATGTCGAAGATTTAGAACTATTTATTTTGGGGAGTTATTTACCTCTCCAGACTAACCACTTTAAAAACCTGTCACCAACATCACTTTCAATAAGTGTTGTTTTACATCAACAATCAATGGAGTAGAAACTGCATTTCATTTATAAATGAACTGAAAAAATTTTCTCATTATTATACCGGTACGTCTCATAACATCTATTACTCATATGTTGACGAAATAAATCACAACAAATGAGTCAGGACTACTTTTAGCTACCAAATGAGTACATCCATTTTTAAAACGAGTTATCTCTATAGACAGTCCTTACCTCTCAACAAATTCTTAATAGCTCAATTCACCAGTTTACTGAGATGCGATGACTTAATGAAGTACCTCCACCCTAAGAGAGTAGAATCGACATTGGTTTTCCTCACAAATCTTCCAGAACTATTAAATTTACAATGGTCATATTACAATTTGCCGTTGTTGAGAACATCACTTAGGAGAAAAGTCATAGGTCACAGTGTAGATAGAGTACACTTAGAAGCACTTTATAAACTACAGTATGTGTAGAAAAACCACGCATTTCGTTTGAAGGTCAGTGATATTATTAGGCTTGTGGTGGTTGGTATTCCATATAATCCTTAAAATTCGTATACAGTTCGTCTTGATAACCGTCACTAGATAACGCCCCAATGGTATATTAATCAGAAAGCGAAAACGAAGTGTTGATTGTGTTTATTATGGGACCATACACTGATATCCAAAATTACAGGTGCATCAAACAAGCATGAAAGAGTTGTGCCGAAAGGCAAGAGAGCAAGTGAGTCAGCGAATATGAGTACGAGTAAGTGAGAGAGAGAGCAATGAACATGAATAACATGGACATATATATACATAAAGAAGTGAATGAATCATCGAATCAATTAAGCGGTTAGCAGTAAGGCTAGCAGCGTGATTAAATGCGTAGGCAGTGAGTAATGCTCAACCATACCTGTTCATACATTCGCAACAATAATAAAGATACAATGATATAGATAAGTTGTTGTTGTACGGTTGACTCAGTTCGTTAATAAGTTAACAAAATGACTTGACCGAATTAAATGTGAACAAACTCAATTGCGTGTGATTTGCTATAGGCTGATTAAACGGAAGTGTATCATGTTTCAAATATGCTGTCAGATTGTTGAAAGTCAAGTGTGTAAATTACTTAAGTACTAATCATGAGCTGCCTTTTAACGTACTAAATGTGATTTTGCTACTTTTTCCTTTCGATAACATTGATTAAAGCCAGAAAGCATAACACAGAAATGTGGCCATATTTGAGACTCCATGGTAACACATTTACGAAAGTGCACACGGTTGGACGTATTGAAAACAGAAAATATGACAGTCATCAATGTGGAGTACAATAGTTTGAACTTTTTATTTGTATATTTGAAAGCATTTTTGATACTATAAACCAACAGTTAACATATGTTCAGATCATGAAGAACTTTTGCAATAATGAATATTAAGTTCTGATGTTAACTGGATACAATATTTAATCCTAAACAACTCACCTATGATCCCAACTAATTTTAATGAACAAGTCTAATAAAATAAAGATTAATGTACGCAAAAGCAGAAACCCGCTGAATAGTTATCACACATTTTTTAATCAAATTAATTTCATCATCAACATATAATCTCTCTTTATTACCTATAACGAGTTAAGTTCTTAGAGATTACGAAGTCAAAACATATGGAAGGAAAGCGTACATTTAAATGCAGAAACTGATCATGTCAAAAAGCAATATTAAGTGAAACTAGTAGAACATCAACTTCAACAGTTGAACTACCAACATAATCAGTTGAATACACTACTTTTTAACCGTAAGTGATTAAATATTCAAGTGTAACAAATATTTCCTACCTTAACGCAACGAAAACAATTTATTCGGTCGTCGTAAATTCTGCTGATTCGATTAAATCTTACCTTTCGCGGTTACTTTATATTCTACAATATAAATAATGCTCTAAAATCCACCGTGACGTGCGACGGTGGCTGGCATAGACTGGGAAAAGGTTTAAGAAACGTTATTAGTTGATGAGGTCATTGATTCCTAAAATGAGCAGAGTTTATATATGTAAAGCTCCTGGGCGGAATCGATGCAATCAAAGGTTTGATACTATACCTGGCATAACATGATGTTTATCGAACTAATGCAGATGTATTTTGAGTTTTACTATAATTTCACACTTTTTATTTTACGATTTCATTCATTTTCGAATTATATACTCCTCACGGTCACCAACATTACTATTCTGAAAACGTTGCTCTACATATATCACTATTCTGACGTGAATTGTGGCACCTTGGACCAATACACGATTGTACCAGCTACTAGGTTGTTTATGATACTTTAAATGAACAGTCATAAACACTCCAGCATTCATCCAATAGCCCATGAACACGAGTCCCACTATAATAGATCTAAAATGTCGTTAAATAAGTGGATAACAGAAGTACTTAGTAATCGATAAATTACACGCCAGCCAAGGATTACGTAACGAAAAAAATAGCTCACGAGGTCTCAAAAATATGAATATGTGAAATATAAATTGTCAAAATATGGAAATAATTAAATGAAGTAAAGAAACACCACAAAAAGTAACCTGGTAACTGGAATAACAGCAAAATAAAAGTAAGGTTTCTTTGTTATTCATGCATACAACTGTTTTCTACACTGAATCCCTACATCAAGTATATGTTTCAAATGGGCTTGTATATCAGATTCTTCTTCAAAAACATTTCCAGAACGCACCTTTTCCGAAATATAATTAGCCAATTTACTCAAATCGTCGAGAACATTTGAAGCCTGTAATGTTTTCAAAGCCGTGATATGTGAATTCGATTTCTCATTACTGTTGCTTTCCAATTCAGTTTTAAATTTTAATGCTTCACAAAACCAATCGATCAACTCAGGTACACATTTTCCAGGTGCTGTCACTGGCCAACCATTAATAATTTGAGCAAATAAACAGGTAGCTGCTAAAGTTGCAGTTGTTGCAACTTTTAATAAATCGTTGTTAATTTTAGCATCATATACTGATTCCTTGAGTTGCATTTCAACTTGAATGGCCAATTCATTAGCTTTAAGTCGTTCGTCTCGTTCTCGTTTATTATTATGACTATTAGATGAATGAAATACGGAAATAGTCAAACCGAGAACGTCAACTGATAAATTTTTTATTGAAGTATAAAATGCATTAAGTGATGTTAAATTATTTTGCCCAACTTTAAAGCTGTCCAAAACTTGCTGTATAGCACTGCTTATTGAAACTGCATCTGGTAAACTAGTATGTTTTAACAGTTCTAGGAGACGATGATACGATTCAATGCTTAATGATTCCGTAATATTTGATTTGACATTGTTATTTTGTGTTGAATCGGAAGAGTTTGTTTTTGAGAGATCATTTTTACTAGTTGTCGACTCAGGCCATGGAATTCCGAATTCATAGGAAATATAATCACATAGCTGCCGAAGAATAGGCATACCATAATTTTTCAGAAGATGAACTAATAATTGGTTTCTTAGGATATCACGATTTATTGAAGAGATTCCTCTCTCTAACAACTGAAATATTAAATGAAAAGTTCGGCTTTAGAGATAAAAGTAAATGTACATGATAATAATGACAACTATAAGAGATTGTTAACGGTCCCTAGTTTATATATTTTTATTAAGCACGGAGAATATTCGGTTGTGCGAAATATCTGAATTATGATTTTGTGGGAGGAATGCACTACGAAATTGCAATAAAAGGAAAAATATACTCCACTTATTACCGTTCGAACACTGTGAAGCCATAAAACTCTATGTAGTGTTATATATATATATATATATATATGTTCGGCCGCTGTTATATTAAGAGCTTTATCAACGAACAAATAAAACGAAGAAACCTATCAATTTTGATGACAGACTAAAGAGATACTGGATTATGCCGAACCCTAAACGAACAACTAAAGAAAACCAGAGGTTCATAAAATACGGTTACTATGACGAAACTTTAAAACATTCATACAAAGATAATCTTTATGCTGATTTTCTCTGGGGAACTGATGGAAAGTACACAATGAATAGTGTTTCGGTTAAGCTTGGAGATTCCTGAGTTTAAAAACCTAAATCTTTGAGTAAAAATGGCAATTACGTTACAACATAATGAATTTGGAAACGCTGATAACTGTATTCCTAATATAAACACATTTTTCTCGAGACAAATATTCCTAAAGCAAGCTGTTTGAAGGGTTTGATGCAATTTACAATTAAAAGGTTCCAAACGAAAACAAAGCAGCCATCTGACCTAAAGCGATCTTTATTCAGTCAGTTGTAATCAAAAGCTTGAAAAATTTATTACCTGCAAACTGAGAACCATACTATTAACCACTTCCTGTGTTTGCAACTTTTTCTCACGATCGAAGTTAGCACCTGCATTTGGTGAAATCAGTGAACCAATATGTTTTATAAATGAGTGTTGTAAAGTAGATTCCAACATATCAGCGACCTGGTCAATCATTTCACTGGGCACATCATTTGGTAACTGTGAAGACAAAATACTTCTAACGTCGTCCATGAGAACATAACGAGCAAAAAGATCTTTAGTTAGTGACTGGGAATCACCAATGCCACTAGGAAAGTTATTTTCTGAATCAGTAGTGGTTGATGGATTGCCCGTCTTACGTTTACTTGGATTATACTTTTTCTTAACATTTTTGGTCTTAATTTCACGTGCGCCAAAACCAAATCCACCTTTGGACGATGTAACTACTTGTTTAGGTGTATTAACTTCTACGGATTGTTGTTGAGTTGGACTTGACAGGATTGCATGATGTTCGTGGTGGAAAGCTGTCTGAGCCTTTTTCCTTAAATACGTGTCAAGAAAAACTTCGCAGCTTTCAATAAATTTGTCAGCAATTAAATATGTGTCAAGTAATTTCACAGGAGCATCTTTTAACAGAGGGTTCACTAGTGCCGATCTTTCATTTGAATCTAACCCACTTGGAATATAATGGGATAGGTCTATCCAAGATACGTCGCGGATTACACCTGAAATGAGAGATTTTAACTGATCAACTATTAATGTGTTAACCGTAAGACCTGGTAGATGCATAGCATTCGGAAGCTTAGTCTTTAAATATGAACCTGGATCAGGAATATTCAATCGCTTTAAATAGTTCCATTCAATATATCCATTCTGAGAGTAAAATGAATTGATGTATGTATCCTCAGCATAAGTATAACATTTTGGAACGAAGCCACTACGACCGGCAATCAGATTACCATACAATTGACCAGTACTGATAAGACTAGAGACAATACTATTAATTAAATTTTCAGGAACTTGAAGCTTTGAAGCAACTGAACTTAAAGTAACAGGACGGATAACACCTGTAAAATAACCTCGAATTTTCGCCTTAGTAGCATTAAGGAAAGTATCTGTAAAGTACTTCTCACCATATTTATGTACATGAAATAAAGTACTTTGATACTCTTGCATAATACTCGATAAGAATGTTGTAGGCAGATTAAAGATGACAGTTAGTTCACCAATACTAGTCTGGCCATGCTCTTCTAGTCGATCAAGTATTTCATGAGCTACGCGTCGAACATATGAACTGTTGACAACTTCACTGGGTATACTGATCAAACGACAAGGCGATTTGTTTTGTGCATCTAAGGTTATCAATTCAGTGACTCTTGATTCAATGATATCGAAATCCACATCAAGATTTGATGCTAGTTCTGTAAGTGTAATTCTACCAGAATGTGCTTCAACTTCATCTCGGATTTCCTTATCGAGCTCGTTCCGAGTTAAATATGATCGCCCATCAGTTGAGAAAACCAGTTTTAATCTATTCACAGACATTAAATATTTTATAATATCGACCCATGTTCTATCAGATAGTTTACAAATATTAGGTTGATTTTGTGTTTCTTTGAGTTTGTTAGCTAGTTCTCGCACCTCATCCCAAGTTGCCATACTGTATTAAAAACCGAAAGTTAGGTAATATTTCTGGAATTTCTATAAAGAGAAAATAGATAAACTGCATAAAATCAATTGATAGAATAAGGTTTAAATCCAACATGCAACCAGTGATGTATAACTAACTTTTATATCGCGAACTGGTACAAAAACTAACGGGTAGGACTGAGCAAGACGTTGCACAGATTTTTATATCCATGAATACCACTATAACTTGCGAGCTATATAGCACCCAAGAGGATGGCAACCTAGCCTCAGTGGAAATACAGATGGCTTGTCTGCTATTTATAGACATATTGTTAGTTACATACCTAATGAGATGTTCAACTGCTAATTAAATGGTAAGTAAATAAGCTATGTAACATTGCTCTCTACACAACACCACAGTATAAGACTGCGATAATGAAGGTGGGGGAGGTGTACAGATAGTAACCGTTCGGTCTCGGGTCAATACTTCAATGTGCCAGAACTAGGAACTAAATGATGGTTCACAATCTTCAATAACCTACTGGATTAAACCTATTAACGTCCTGTCTTCAGAGCTCTCTCTTAACCCTCTTAGAGATTGTAGATTTTTGTGCTATTTCAGTATAAGACAACATCGATCAATAAGCAAAAGAAACGAGCTTGCGCATGACCGATGAACTTAGTCGGATAATTTTAGGGTTGACAGATATGCAGGATAGTGGTACTTTTCCTTGCTGAAAAGACTTTTGTAATTCCGATCGTTTATAACCCATCAAGACTTTTCAGTTTAATTGAATTACCATCAATTAAAGCATTTGAAAAATATCGTTCTTACAAAGGGTTTATAACCTGTATTCTTTTTAAATACAGCAGCATTTTCAGTTATTGCACATTTGGATTTGGCTGTTCATGGTATGTTTTTATTTTAACCCATCTTTTTATGGTTATCGGCTTTTGGCTATATAACCTTTTCTCTTTCAATCTATTTGAAAAATCTTCGAGAGATGACTAGATAGAGTAAAGAACGTAATTGTTAACGCCCAGGTTTTCGATACCCGGTGGATAGTGAGATGCAGTGTAGTAAGCGTACCATGAAGTTTGCACTAATCAAATACCTGCAGTGTTAACAAGTTATAGTAGACCCGGATGCGTGTGGCTATGCCATCAGTGCTGCTTAGATGTAATTAGCTTGTTATCAGAAGCGATTGAAATGGCGAACGCAGCTATGAATGTTATCCAGTGTTATGCACCCACCAATGATTGCAACGAAGACGATAAAGATCAGTTTCATGAAGCTGTAATCGATCATAGCGAAGTGTTCAGGAAAGATCCTGACAGTCTTGAAGAGAGACCTAAACACCAAAGTCAGAATGGACAACATTGGGTATGAAGATATCATGGGACGACGTGGTTTACAAGAAAAAAACGAGAAATGTGAGAGATTTGCGAATTTATGTGCATTCAACGAAATGGTTATAGGTGGCATTATATTCCCACACAAACGCATACACAAACCTAAATGGGTCTCACCGGATCACATCACGGAGAACCAGATAGATCATAATAGTATCACTAAGAATTTCAGAAGGACAATGGAAGATGTGAGAACCAGGAGAGGAGCTGATATAGCTTGAGACCACCACCTGGTTGTGGCCAAGATCAAACTAAAGCTAAAAAAACACTGGAAAACTGGGGAAACAGCTATACAAAGGTTAAATACTGCCTTCCTTCGACATACTGACAAAGTCGACGAATTCAAGACAGTTCTCAACAATTGGTTCCAATCATTACGAGATCTACTAAAAGAAGAAACTATTATGGAGGACAACTGGAACACACTGAAGCAAACAAGCTAGTGAACAGGAGCATTAGAGCTGACACGTAGAAATATGTGAAACACCTAGCAACGACATAGTTAAAAGCCGCAACAGAAGGAAATATAAAACAACTATACGACACAACGGCGAAACTAGCAGGGAAATATTGTAAACCAGAACGACCAGTCAAGGACAAAGAAGGCAAGTCAATCGCTAAGATTCACAAACAGAGGAACAGGTGGGTAGAGCACTTTGAAAAACTCTTAAATAAACCAACCCCACTGAATGTACCCAACATCGAAGCAACACACAGACCTTCTTATAGCTGTCACCCCAACAAAGAAAAAATCGGCATGAATATCAGATAACTTAAGAGTGGGAAAGCAGCAGGATCCGACATAGGAGTAACTGCAAAGATGCTCGAAATACTAATCAGAAAGATTTGATAAGAAGAACAAGTGTCAACAGGCTGGAAAGAAGGACACCTCATCAAGATACCAAAGAAAGATCTCATTGAGTGTGAGAACTAATGAAGCAACACACTACTATCAATACCAGAAAACGTTTTCAATAGTGTTGTTGAACCGAACGAAAAATTCAATAGACGCCCAACTTCGAGATCAACAGATCGGATTCCGTAAGGATCGGTCACATACAGAACAAAACGCGACACTAAAGATCATTATTGAACAATCAAGTGAACGGAACTCGTCACTATACACCATCTTCCATGATTATGGGAGTGTTTGACAGTGTGTATGGGATGGTCTTATGGAACGTTCTTCAACACAATGTAGTAAGTAGCTGAAAAGATTGTCAACACCATACGGAATTGATACGGTCGACTACACTGAAAAGTCGTGTATGGAGGACGGCTGCATTCCAAGTGAAGACCGGTGTCAGACAATGCTGCTTACTCTTCCGTTTTTTCTTTCTTCTAGTGGTTGACTGGATTATGAAAACCTTAACATCTCGGAGGAAGCAAGGAATACAATGGGCAGCTTGAATGCAAGTAGATGAATCGGACTGCTCAGATGATCTGACCCTCCTAACACTTTCTAGGGTCAAAAGAGGGTTGTAGATTAGTGTGAAGAATTATGAATACGACTGAAAACCAGAAGTTAGGTTTGGGAATTAGAGTTAGGGTTTTCATTACAAAATGACATCAGTTATAACGTCAGAATGCTATTTAACCATATAGGTAAATGAACTTCACACCAAAATTTAAGGATTGCTATCCTTAATTTCACTGCCTCGTTGATAAATTATAACATTGTTCCATTGCCCAACAACACAATAATTTAGGAGTCGTTCGTCGAAACTTGAAAATTACTGTACACTGATGTCCAATAGCTTTTAGAAGTTTCAGAACTCTCTAATCAATAGGTCCAGCCTTTAATCACGTTTCATTTGGTCTAAACTTAATTATTCCATACGATCAGCCAGTCCCTGCTTAGAGAAATGATAAGCTGTTGAACAAGGTTTAAAGAACAGTAACTAAGGTGATCCTCGGAATCACAAAGCTTCTGTTTAACGAGTTGCTAACCTAAGCCTACTTCTGTTGTCGTAAGAGAAAACAAGAGGCGATTAGATTAATTTTTCAACTACTTAATAATAAATTTGCATCTGGAATACGTCGAGACTATGATTTATGGACGACCTTTGAACGAATCGCAAGTGACTTTGAGAAACACTAGCCAGTCAACACAGTTAGTATAGAGTAAAAGTGTATTGAACAAAACCAAAAAATTAAGGTGGATACATTTTTTCTACATGGTTGGAAAACTTGTCAAGGTTAGGAAGAGGTTCAGAGGTCCTAAAATCGTAATGCATACGGTAGAGGAAATCCTCCTTATGGCTCCATAATAGTCGACCTCTGGATCCATAAGGTCGCAAAAACTCTTTCAGTTTCGACCGCATAGCTCAATATTGTTTGTGTGCACTCTGGTTGTTGGGTCCAGAAAATGCCACCTGTAGATAACGACACGATGCACATAACCAAGTCTATGTGGGGCCTGACACATATGCAACTGCTGAAGTCTTAATACCACGTCACACAACACTAACGAGATTAACAGAAACAATCAAAGTAGTTTTACTGATGATTGTAGTAAATTTCTATGACTACTAATATGAAAATAAACGAACGAATGTGAACAAAGTCAATATTAATAATGTTCCCAATCTCTTGAATTCGCGAAGTCTTTGCGGATTGTGGGAAAACACTAAACTCTGCACTAGTCCAGGGTTTTGTTCCAAAAAGTGAAGTTTCTAATGGGAGATCCCCAGAATCGGTGAAATTTTCCTTAATCTCCCAACTTTAAAGTCGGGAGATCTGGTTACTTTGTGGTTTGATGAATAAACAGCTACAGAAATGCTAACCTGATATAAGCAGCTGACCGCCTCCCTATAACAAATAGACAGAGCTTGATTTGCAGGACGTGTTCAGGCTGCTGATCAACATTTAGAATTCATAACTTTCATTTCATTTGACCGTGCTTTTCACAACAGGCTGTTCTTACAGTGAACAACAACTTTCCGCTGTTTTTTACTTATGCTGAGTAGACTACGTATAAGGTATATAATTTTAGAAACTAACAAAATGGAAATATCTGTGCAAAAATGCAAACATACGTGTACCCAAGGTCACGTTGCCAAATGATTCATAAATTTGTCACTACACTGGTAATGCAATAAACAATAACTTTGTGATAAACTTGTGTAAAACGACTGATTAATTTGCTCTCTTTCTTCGTTGTTTGGGTACAGTTCCAAGTTTTTGATCGTTTTTAATAGGGATTGATGTGGAATATATTTTTCCGTGGACTTCTGAACACAGGTTATTCAGATTTGTGCCTTGAGAATAGAAGGAAGAGGGGTTATGTTAATTCTTTTTAACAAGTGCCTAGACTCTGGAGATGCTGTAGGTTATGGACCTTTAAGTGGCACTAAAACGTCCCTAGAAAACTGTAACAACTTACTGCGGTCGAAATAAATTTGTCAAGTAGTTTGAGGGACCGTGAACAGTAGTTAGATTTATATCTTAAGATTCAGTGTTTTTACCACTAACCGACATAATCTATAATCTCAATATATAGATTTGTGATGTGGATGAATGAACTCCTGGCCAAATTCCAGGACTCACAATCTTAGATCTGATTGTTTCACCAGTATATTATATTCTCGCCACCATATATATACATATTCTTATCTATTTCTGTTGGTCTTAATGTCCATACATATATCGATCCTATAGATAAACAAAAGCTTGTGAGGAAAGACGTTAAGATCATGGCATACAAAGACTCTAGGCTCATAGTCAGTTACGATTAAATGCACATGTATATTTACAGAGTTATATTTATTGCCACATGCGTCCGGCAATGAATGTAGACGTATGAGACTTATGTACACATCTCGCTATGTTATGACTCGTGATTTTTAAGATCTTTATTATACAATGAACCATACAATTAGAAAATTGAGAGCTCTGTACCCACATTTAAAACACAAACACTTAATCACTGAATAGATCAAAATGAGAATTAGAGAAGTAGGTTGACATAAATAATGAACGATAGTGAGCCTAAAGATGACTAAGTAAATAAACTGTGAAGCATTAATTTCAAGAAGGAGACATCGTAATTGAGTTGTACTTTTCATCAGCAACCAACCAAAAGGTTTGCTGTCTCCTAGATAAGTGTCAGAAAATTATCTAGTTTTCTAGATGCAAATGATGTCTATTCTCCAGCTTTTTCCTGAAGTCGGTGTAGCTTCTCATATAAGCATCGATTAAAATAAGATAGTCCTACGACCATAAACACCAAAGGGCAAACATAAATGCTTTGCCACTGTGACCCAGAAACGGAATAAAAAAAAGCATTCAGAGTTTAAAGTTAATTATTACTGCAAGTTATCATGCTGATGATAAACGTAGTAAAGAAACGGATGAATTGATGATCACCTAGTGGGTAAGAATGAAAAAGTGATCAAAAATACGACAGAAACTAATTAATAACCCTGGAGGTATGAGGCTTAACTAAATGATTCACTGAGTTTAAATGTGTTAGGAAAAAATAAATGTTTGCGTGATAAAATCTGAGGTAAGATTTAATGGAATAATGGAAATTCAGCCAGAAGTAGTGAAAGCAATTAGGTGAGAGTTTCAATCAAGTGCAGAGACAAAGTAACAAATCCAATAATATTTGGAATTCTGGTAGTTCCGTACCGTCATATTCCACACTGATGCATCTATAAATTCAAGCGTACCAATACATGATAACTATCAACAATTTTGACATAATGTGGGATAGGTTAGAAAATGACGCGGAAGCAGTACTTAGAACGTTAATACGAGCAGGAACTATAAAACACCTTTATAATACCTTTGTAATTCCACTGAATCCTAACTACACAATCCTCAAAGCTAAACACGAGACAACTGAAAAATAAATAAATATTCAACGTTTAACAAGGAAAAAAACCCAACGACGGAAATGGCGGGAAGAATGGATCGAATTCATTTCATAGGATGACATGGCTCAGCTTCCAGGCGTAATCATTCTTGTGTGTTGTCTTATATCTTTTATTCACATTAAATATATTGCTCTATCTCCAGCCTAAATGTGTTCCCCATAATATATTGCTGATTGTTACGATACGATGAGTCAGTGTAGACGATGACGTGGATTCCATGTAAGATCTTATATATTAGGCAGTTACACCGTAGTAAATCTACAATTTTAGGATTCGGTCTATTATATGAACAGTGCCAATAGCGAAGTACACCGTAATTCCACACTTTCTCCAACAAGAACAGTTGCCAGTTATAACAACACAGTGTAATCAGACAATGGGACACTAGGCGAATAAATCGCTAAGAACATGAATTGACCAGTGGTCAAATGGAAAGACGTTTCCCTACAAAGCAATAAACATTGTTTCAGCCATAGACAAAGTGATGGATATATTCGACTTACCCCGAAAATCAGGAAGCAACGTATAAGACGACAACTACATAAAAGCAATAGTCAAACAACCTAATTACCAGTTGACAACAATGTACATTTTCATCAAACAGTTAATGGTTTTCAGTTCCAGACACAAAGAACTAAATTAATCAGTGTACACAGGAAAAATTAAAGAATGACTGCTCAAGCGACAAAAAGCGGTATTACATAAAACAAAGATAAAGAGTAACAAAAGTACTGACGACGTCAATATTTTATTCAGTTCAAGAACCTTTAAAAAATATTATGTCGGGGTAACTTCAAACAAGCCGAAACCGATAAAAATTATGCTTGTGAATGCAAGGAGCACTAGACTTCTCGTTATATGTATAGTAAAACCAAGAATTACTGCGATATGAATTGCATTCATACGGGATTTCCACACAAACATTCACACAAGAAAGATCTTAAGTGTACGGTAATGACTTTTACGCCTAAATTTTTACATGTTGGAAATTGAAATGAGTCTGCAAAGTTATATTAGTTATATACTAATTATGGAAGAGTGGACCTGAGAATGCGAGAAAACTTCAGACACATCAAATTAGCTATGATAATAAGAAAAGGAAGAATGCTGATATCTTGAGCGAAATATCGGTTTCAAGTATGTTCGGATGTAAAATTTCTGTTAACCGATGAAATACAAGACTTAGTTGTAGAACAAGATTGTAACCAAAAAATATTAGAATAATAATAATTTATCTTCGAATAAAAATCTAACATGAGGTATGCCAGTGTCTCACGTCCAAGTCTTTGCTCGTTCCCTTCACTGAAGTACGGTATGCCGATCTATTTGCAATTCACGAACCCAAATTAACAATAGAACCAAACTCCAATTAGATACCAAAGTTTATTCGAGATTTACAAATAGTCGACCCAAATGTCATCCTTCAATTTTGCAGGTTCCCGGAGTAAAAACTCTCAAATACCAAACCGATGACAAAAGAAACCAAAATGTCCGAAAAGGATGATATAAACAAACGAGTTCAAAGTTTGAGTAAAACAAATACATCCAAAAACACAGTAAAATTATCGATGTACAGTAGAAAGGTTTTAACCATCCAAATGTCTTCAGTTCTCCCGTATGGACATGATCAAATAGTTACAAATGATGAAGACTTCACGTTAATAAGTTACTCAGTTAGGTTGATATGTTATGAGGCACATTGCTCATAAAAGCCGGGTGATGACAATTCTCACATGTAAATTTAAATAATATTAGTAAGACCCGGACTGTCAATAGGAGGGCCGGCACGCCTTTCGGAATTTGCGCTGAGACGTGCAACTGACGGTCAAGAATAAATCTATGTAAAACTGAGAGCTTATATCCTACTAATTTTTCTGAGGCATCGATGATGGCACAGAACGAAGCCACATGTTTTCGGCGGCATATACGGGGGCGCTGAGAAGGATAGTAAAAATAGAAAGGACAACAAGTAGAGCAAATAACTATGATAAGTGTTAAAGTTGAGTTGTAGCGGCATTGGACCATAACCACACAATCCTCAAAGCTGAATACGAGATTACTCGGAAAATAGATATTCAACATTTAACGCGGAGAAATACCTAACGATGGAGAAGGCGCGAACAAGGAATTGAATGAATTGGAGTTGATCGAGTGGCATGGCTCGGCCATGCAGGCGTGGTCTCTGCTGAATATTACCTTATATCTTTTATTTATATTAAATATATTGTTCTTTCTCTAGCCTAAGCTTGTTCTTCATCATGTATTGGTAGTTGTTACGATACTGTGAGTTGGTGTAGTCGATGATGTGACTTCCACGTAAGATCTTATAGATTAGGCAGTTATATCATGACAAATCTACAATTTTAGGATTAGGTCTATTGTTAGAGCAGTACTAATATCATAGTAGACCATAATTCTACAGAGTCACTTGCAATGGAATAATGAGGGTATGAATACTTAGACTTGTCTTCTTTCATTAAGTCAACGTTTAGGCGAGAGCATCCTAATAGGTTGAAGAAAACAAGCTCAAGTGCGAGAACCAGTGGACAAAGAAGTGTATAAATGGAGGTGGTTCAAAAAGGAACTAAAAGTTTAAGATAATCTGTAGTTTCAGAATATTGTGAGGAATACACTATTCGGACACACAAGTGGCCCTCTCACATTTTAGTTTTTGTTTTCATTAAAGCCATTTCAGTTCATTTTTATTATTATAAATTTTTCAGGGTCATGAGTGGACTTCATTTTAGAGTAATTGTCTAGAGTTACTTGCAACAGGATTTCTTGAAAGGATGTGAAACCACTTCACGGTTATAAACATGGATCGAGGAGCCACTTTTCGTAATAAATCAGCATTAATAGCAATTGTCCGTGATATCCCAGTCGGCTCTAAGGAGCCGTAATTTAACGAAATATCCCGCCATACAAACGTGTGTGAATTGAAGTTATCTCCCCATATATATATTGAAATCGCAAGGTTGACCATCACATAAAAATAATAATATATTTCCGCAATGGCAGGTACACGCCATTTTTACAGGCACGATCTATAAATTACAACATGTATTGTTTTACTGTATGCATGTTAAATAAATATAGTCTATAAAAGTGAATATCAGTTCGTTCCTTCAGATATACTGATTAATCTTCAAATTATTCTCCAAAGTGGTATCGCGTCCACGTTACACACGAGATCCAATCTCCG